AACAAGAGTATTTTTATTATATTTGTTCAAAAAATTCGTTATATCAAGAGTTCGCTATATCAAGAGTTGACTGTATTATTAATTTCTCACAATAATTTTATTTTATCATCATTTTTTTCTTCTTTAAACAAATTAAATGTAAATATTTAGTATATTATATTAAAAAACTTTATTATTAAATTAATTACAAATATTATATCAGAATTTTTTTAATTATTCTTTTTCTTTCTATTAGCATTTGTGATACTTTAACATTTTAACTAAAAAAATATAAATAACTGATTTTTATTTTAGAAAATTTCTTAATGTACACAGTGTGTATGTACATATATCATGTGATATTACACAACTTTCCAAAAAAAGAAATTTTGCTTCTTATTAAAATTGAGGTTAGAGTTTGATAAATAATGTTACACAATTTTCTTTTTTAAAAAGTCATGTAACGTCACGTGATATATGTACTGCAGTTTATCACATGAAACTAATTAAATCATAGTTATATCATTGTTTATCAGACATATGAAAATCTTATCAACAATAAAAATAGTTTCTTTTTTGCCAAAATGAAAAAATTTTCTTTAGGTTAAACAAAACGGCATGTTGCAAGAAATATCAACCCCACAAGAAATAAAGAACACATTAATAATTAATATATATCAAGAAAGCCACGATGATATAAATGATAAGAATGTCAATATCAATTCACAAGTAAATACTTCGCTTCTCTTTAGTCTTTGTTATCACCCTTTTTTTGGTTTTGTTCACCAACTCTTTCTAATTTTTTTTCCTTTCTTTTGTTTGTTAGGTGTCTATTCCTTCAAAAAACTTTATTTCTAGTGACAAATATAAAAATGATCATTAGTATCTGGCTAAGACCATTCAAAACGGGCAGTCTTCTTTAATAGAAGAAAAGTTTAATGGAAATAATCATCAGGTTACCATTTTTATTCAAACTGAAGAGCCTTTAGTGGAGAAACATTTTGATAGAGATGATCATCAGATTACCATTTCCATTCAAATCAGAGAGTCTTTAGTGGAGAAAATTTTTGATGATCATCAGATAACCATTCAAACTGAAGAGCCTTTAATAGAGGAACTACTTGATACTGATTTAGAAGAAACGGAGGATCCGTTTGAATTAAAAATTGGTTTTACCTTTACAAATTGGCCAGAATTTAAAATCTGGTTAGATAATTTTACCAAAAAGAAGGGGTTTAATTATAAAGTAAGGAACAGCCAGACAGATGGAGGAATAATGCGTAATATTATTTACGAATGTTCAAGGTCAGGCATTCATATTCCACAAGTAACTTCTGACCTAGCTAAGTGACGAAATGCATCTTTACAATATACACAATGCCCTTGGAAGCTTAATGCTTCTTGTTCCAAATCAAGTAATATTGTAAAAATTAATTCATTTGTCGATAATCACAATCATAGTCTTACCTCAAGTATACAAGAAATAGCTTTAAGGTTTCAGAAATTGACTACAGAAATGTTATCTGATATAGAAAAATATGTCATACAAGGAAGAATAGATTCCGCATCTATTTATCTGTTACTTAGACATGATTATACTAACCATAATATTTTTAAAAAAGATTTATATAATGCAGTATATCAGTTTCAGCTTAAAAATAATCTGGGTGATACAGATGCATCTCAAATACTCCAAATGCTGTTAAATTGGAAAGATTCAGAGCTATTGTGGGTTATCAAACCATGCTTAGACCCTTCATCCAGAAAGTTGAATCGTTTATTATGGATGTTACTGATACAACGAACCTTATATGAAAGTTTTCATGATGTCGTAATTTTGGATATCACATCAAATACAAATCAGTTCTGAATGATACTTTGTATTATTGTTATTATTGATAATCATTTCAAGACAAGAATCGTAGCTTCCGCTATTGTAGAAGATGAAACGCTAGATACCTTTTGATGGATTTTAATAATGTTATTTGAAGAAACGGGTATTAATCCCAAGTTATATTTACTGATTCAGATCCATCCTTGATTGGTGCAATTAAGGAAATACATACTGATACAAAACATTTGTTACGTATCTTCCATATTGACTTGAATCTACGTAAGAACTTAAGAGTAAATTAGGAGCTCGCTTTGAAGAATTTTAGCGCAAATTTTATGTTTGTAGAAATTCCTTATGTAAGGAATTATTTGAATCTCAATAGGTATAATTAATCAATCAATATCCTAAATCTGCCAAATATATGGTAGAAATATTTTATATTAATAAAGAATTGTGGGCCACCTCTTAGATATACAACAAATTTACTGCCAGTGCGCAAAGCACACAAAAAATCAAATCTATTAACAAGCAAATACATAATAAAGTGGATCAGTCTACTTCTTTATGCGATTTGATGATTAAAATTAACGATTATATTAAGGGGAGGAGCATTTTGAAAAGTTCGAAATTGAGTATAATGCTTTACTAAATGTTAGATTACCAATGTTATATAGCAGATTTTTTGGACAGACAGACAGTATTAAACAATATTTAACTTCTATTATATTAGGAAAGCAGCGGTCACAGATGAACTAATTGGTATGCTATGATATTAATCATATAATGGACTGGCAACAACTATTAGAAGTAAGTTGACAAAGCCATTCTTTTTATATTTGACATAGAAGATCAATATTAATAACCCATTTTTTTATAGATAGATATTGATGGGAAGGAGGTTAATATTAGACTGCGGGAATAAGAACAAGATATTCAACAAGTTCTTTTCAAATCGTTGATTAAGGATATTCAAGAAATTATTTTAAAAGTATGGCATATTCAGGCTACAAGAACATCAGGCATCAGACATTATGTGGTATTATTAAACGACGGTACACATTTGTGTACTTGCCTTTTATTAATTAATAAAGGCTTAATATGTCACCATTTTTTTCGTGTCGTGACTTATTCTCAAACAGCGATCTTTTACATTACTCTTATATCACTTTGCTGGTATCTTGAGCCTAATATTGAACAAGAAGCTCTTATACAACAACTATCAGTTATCATATTATGTTCTAATTCAGAAGATCTTCCTATACCTAACAGTACATTTAAGCATTTATTTTCCATTCGATCTATGATATACAATCCTTATTTAATAATAACAAAGTCAAATAAGATTATATATGCAAAATTGTTTGGATTATCGAAAAAGGTTATCGATTTAGCTATTAAAGCTGATATGTATCAGGAGCTGTCTGATATGTTCAAAACTTTTCTTTATGACATACAGAACAAAATTGACAAAAATCAAACTGGAGATTATATTACTAATGTCAACAATCCAAATATAACCAAACATAAAGGCCATCTACCAAAAAGGTTGAAGTCTAATGTTGAACAATCATCATCTAAAGGTAAACAGGTATTAAGAAACAGCACACATATCAATGTAATAGATAACAATGAAATAAATGCAGAAGGTGAGGGTAGTGGCGATATGATCAATACAAAAGGGCGTAAGTGCAAAAATGTAAAAAATATGGACATTATGCTAAAACTTGTGAAGCTAAGGTGTTGTAATCTTAGGATTTTTTGGGTTCATTTGGTTTGTTAGTTTGTTGAAGCAATGGTTGAAACTGAATAACACCGTAATGCAAAATTTAATAATTCATGTAAGTTTTATTTGTTTGGTGAAATATACAAATAAAGAATTTGCTAAAAGTCTTGGTTTTTTGGTAGTAATTTTCAAGCTTCTTTTAACTCATTAAATTCATTAAAGTTGGGTCTATTTAGTCAGTTTAGTTCACTAAGATTTGTTAGTTTTAATATAAAAAAAAAATCTTTTTCGAAGAAACACGTGATATTATTGTAATTGAAAAATACATGATCTTATTGTAATTGAAAACACGTGATTTATTATAATCACGTGATGTGTGTTCACACACACTGTATACAAATAGAAATCGTCTTTATTTTATATATATTATTATTATTTCAAACTCATATATTAATAAATAAAAACTTTCTAAATAAAAAATTTTTCAATATAGTCTAAATTGTTGATATTATAACAATTGTTATATAATACTTTATTAAGCAAATATATAAACTCAGCATTAATTTTTTCTTAAATTTTAATGCTTTTTTCTACTAAATATTATTTATGTTAGAATTATAAAATTAATAATTAGTTTAATTCTTTAAAAAAAAATATAATCACAATTCTATATAATTATCTAATTAGTTCTACCAAAATTGGTGATTGTATAGAGGTATGATTGGTATAAAAATAACTTCTATATAATCACTTTTATATTAAAAATCATGTGAAATGATTATATAAAGATTATTTTATTTTTTAGTTGTAATATAAATTTATAATATAAAATTAAATTAATAATAAAATTATTTATTATATAATTATAAATATTCAATTAATATATAAATATTATTTAAATTAACTAAATACTAAAAAAAATCAGTAATTAATGCCTACTTTTGAAATTTTTTTTTAAGTTTTTTAACTATTTAAAATATTTTTTAAAAAGATTTAAATCTTTTATATTAAATTCATTAATACATTACTGCTCAAAAAATGAAATCCAAGTTTTTAAAATTTAAAAGCATCAACAGAAAATATTAAAATTTCTTCTTTTTCAGAATCACTATTTTGATCACATGTTTTCTCTTAAATTAGATTTATAATATTATTCTCATTTAAAATATTTTAGTTAGAATTCCTTTCAATTCTTGAAAAAATTAGTTAATGTATTAGAAAATGAAGAAATAGAAAGATCATTTGGGAGTATTTTAGAAAAATCAGGTTCTGAGAAATTTTTGACTAAAATTAAAAGCTTAATATATTTTAATCTAATAACATCAAAAACTAAAATATAATAAAAATCTCAATTTTGCTAAAAAATTCTCAAAACTTGATTTTCCTAGCAATTAACCCATTTATATCAAATTCTTTAATAATTTGTCTAATATCAGCTACTTCATTATTCAATTTTTTTGTTAAACTTGTAAGCATTATCTATGTCTACATCAAATAAAAAGTCAAAATGCTAGTTTTTTCTAATAATTCTATACTATTTCTTTAGTCACATATTACAACATAGTTAATTTCTTCTTTTATATTAATTTTTTTACTTTTTATATCTTTCTTATCCTCAAATAAATCTAACATATAATGATAATATTTCTTCTTAAAATAGTTTTTAAAGCTTATAATTATTCTTGTATTAAGTGATTAAAGATAACTAGTTGTATTTAGAGGTAAAAAAACTACTTCAATATAAGTTAATTAAAGCTGAAAATTGCTAAATTGATATTCTTTTAATCCAATATAATGGTTACTATCTCTTAATCTATCATGACCATTATAATAATTATAACCTTTTGATTTATCATAATTATTATAAAGGTTTTAACCTCTTGATCTACCATCATTTGATCTATTATTTTCTATAAAAAAATAATTAATTAGCAAATTAATTAAAGAATCAAAAAAATCAAAAAAAATCAATAAGAAAAAATATATAAATTAAAAATAATAAAAAAAATTAAAATCAAAAAAAAATTAAAAAAATAATAAAAAAAATTAAAAAATTATATATAAAAAAAATATATAAAAAAATAATAAAATAAGATATAAAATATGAAAGCAAATTAAAAAATAAAAAAGAGTGAAAATAAAAAGAAAAATAATCTTATTTCAAATCTACCCCTATAAAATTCAAATTCTAATCTTATGTAATTTCTAAAAATTAAAAAAAAATAGAACAAAAATTAATAAGAAATTAAAAAAATAAAATATAAAAATACATTATTCTAAACTCTTCCTTGTTATACTCTTATAAAATCTCATGTCAAATTCTAAAATCTGAGAATCAAAAATAAAAAAAAAATAAAATTAACAAAAATCTAAAAAGCAAAAATATCTTATTCTAAGCTCTTCTTTATCATAATTTTATGAAATTTTATGTTAAATCTTAAAACCTGAAATTTAAAAATAAAAAAAGAATGAAATTAACAAAAATTAAAAAGAAAAAAAATAAGAAAGCAAAAATACCTTATTTTAAGTTTTTTCTTGTCATAATCTTACAAAATCTTACATCAAATCCTAAAATCTGAGATTCAAAAATAATAAAAAAATAAAATTAGTAAAATCAAAGTAAAAAAATAAGAAAATAAAATATCTTATCAAGCTCTTTCTTATTATAAATCTACAAAATCTAAATCTCACACAAAATCATAATCTCATGTAATTTAAAAGAAAAAAAGAAAAAGAAAAAGAGAAGAAAAATGAAAAAAAAAAGAAGGTAAAGGGAATAAAAAATAAAAAAAAATAAAAAATAAAAAGAAAGAAAAAGGTAAAATAAGAATAAGGAAGAGAAATAAAGGTAAAGAGAATAAGGAATAAAAATAATAAAAAAAATAAATAAAAATAAATAAAAAGAAAAAAAAGTAAAGAAGAGAAATAAAAAAAAAGTAAAAGTAAAAATAAAAAAAAAATAAAAATAAAAATAAAAAAAAAAAAGAATAAAAAAATGAGGAAAATATATATATATATATATTTTAAAAAATTGAAAACTGAAAATTTAAAAAATGCTGAAAACATTATCAACCAAAAACAAGTTCTTTTTATCTTGTATTCTAAAATAGCTATCAATTTCATGAAGAATCTCTTTAAATAATAACAAGTTCATTTATATTTTAGGATTAGTTTGATAATAGATAAGAAGATTTTCTAAATTAATCTTAAAAAGAGGTTTTGGTCTCTTTGATTTTCTAATTACTCATAATTTTAATTTATCAGTACCTATTGCATTAATATTAAGAAGGACTGAAATTTGTATTTTATCCTTTTTTTTATCTAAACTAATTTAATTGAAAGTGTTTAATTTGATGACATTTGATAAAAAAGGCGCTAATTTAAATTATAAAGTTTTAACATCTATTCAATCTTTTTGAAGTCATTAAATATCAGAAAACTTACGTTTTATTAATATTGTAAATTTGGTCAAGTATATATTAACCTAAATTGATTAAAATCTTATATGTTCTTTTAAAAAAATACTAAAGATGCACTTTTTGATTCTCTATATATGTTATATCTACAAATGTTATTTCTTTTTTTTAAACTTATATAATCATCTATTAAAAATGTTAAATCATTTTTGAATATTAAAAGCTTCAGCAAATATTTTTGCTTTTTTTTTATTAATAAATCTGTTAATATCATATCATCAGCTTATATTTTCAATTCATAGGCTTGTTGCTTACTCAAGAACTAAAAACTTAATCTCATGTTTAAAAGTTTAAACAGAAACTTTATCATTTATTTCTTTTTACTTATCACTTTATGATAAAATTTTTGAAATTATACTATTATAAATATAGATTATTTTTATTTATCTTTAATATCTTAGTAAATATTTAAATATAAGTATTTAGTATTTTTATAAGATAATAAAACTTATATAAGTTTAATATTATATTAATGTTAGTTAAATCCTATTAATAATAATATTATTATTATATCATATTTATTTATTTATAAATAATATTATATTTAATAAATGTACAGTATTATTAAAATACTATTTTTTAATAATAAATCAATAAATATCTTAATTTTTAAGTATCTAGCAAATTAGATATCCAAGTAATATCATTAGATAATGATTTAAAAGTTAATTAAACTTTTAAATAACTTTTATAATATTTTAATTATAAAAAATATATTTTTTCTTTTAAATATTTTTTTTAAACTATTATTTCAAATTTATAATATAAAATTAAAAATTTAATTTTTTATTTTAGATGAAAGTTTTTTTTTATAAATTATCATTTAAAAGATAATTATATATTTATTTATTTAAATCTAATTTTAAGTTATTAAATTTAAAATATAAAGTATAATAAGAAATAAATATTTAGTTTTTTATAACTATATCTTTATAAATTAAATTATACATAATCATATAAATATATATTTATCAGATAATATTTTTTTTATGTAATATATAATTTTTTTAAATAAACATTATTTTTCTTAAATAATTTGTTAAAAAACAAATTATATATTTTATATTAAAAAATTTTATAATTAAATAAATCAGAATTTGTAAAATTCTATAATAAATCAGATTCTTTATATAATGATATTTAATTATTATAAATTAAATATTTTAATAAAATCATAAAGTTTATTTATATAAGAATTTTATGTTAAATTATTATAATATATATTAATTAAAAATAGTAATAATTACATTAATTATATGATATATTTATAATTACATTAATACGTTATAAAATCAAAAAATTATAAAATGTAATTTTATGAAGAAATTACAATATTATGAGATTAGAAAATAACTAATTTAACAAAAAATTATAATGGATAAATAATTAATTAGAATCATATATTACAAGATACAAATCATATAATATGAGACAAAAGACAAATTATATAATATATATTATAGAATATAGATAAATTACAAAATATAAAAGAATTAATACTAAAGTAGTAAATAAAAAAATAATAAAAAAAACTTTTAGGATAAAAAAAGAAAAAGAAAATAATTTATAAATATGCATAAAGATTATACTAAAGTTTAAATAAAAGAAATTAAAAGAAATGAGATTATAAAATACTTAAGTAATTATATTATCATAAAAGAAAATTATTAGAAATAAAAAAAAAGAAATATGAATATATATAAGAATATAAAAGAAAAAGAAAAATTATAAGAAATATAAAAAGAAAAAAAAATATTTACTAAGAACAATAAGAGAAGAAAAATTAACTAAAAATAAAAATATTATAATAATAATATTATAATAATATAATGATTTTTAAAATAAAAATATAAAATAATAGAAAAAAAATAGAAATAATATAAAAAGTTAAGAATGAAAATAAAATATTAAAAAATCTAAAAATAAATTTGATGTAATAATAAGAAAAAATTAATAAAATTAAAATTAGAAATAGGAATTAAGAAATTAAGAATTAGAATTAGAAATAAAAATAAGAAATATTGACAAAAAATGTAAAATCAAAGAATAATCTATAAAATTAATTTACATTAAATTTATTAAATTATTATAAATAAAAGTAAAAATTTTATCTTTGTAAAATAAACATCTTTAAATTTGATAATAAAAATAATATAATAATTATATTAGAATTAATAAAAGAATTTTAGGTATAAAATATATTTGATATTATTTTATATATTAATTTAATTACTACAGTGCAATATCTCTATAATAAAAACTTTACTATAGTAAAATTATTACAAATTTAAAATGCAAAAAATAATTTATTATATATAAAATTGAAATTTTAATTTATAAAATATAAAAGTTATATCAGGTTAAATTTATTCAAAATTAATTATAAAACTGAAATTGAAAAAAAAATATGTAATAACGAATTTATAAGAATGATTCTTTTATTATTTATATATTTTAATTTAAATATTATTATAATTGAATTATATTATAATTACACATAGGTTGGATTATAATAAATTATTCTTAAAGCATTAGATTCAATTCCTTTAATTACAATTTAAAAATATACATAAAAATCATGGTAATATATAAATTTGTAACAGAACTATCATAACTTAATTGATCTATATACTGCATTATAAATAGTTACGTAAGTAATATAGTTAACATTGATTGACTTAATAGTGTATTAAATTTATGTAATACAAGAAAGTGTAGATTAAAATGTTAAATATGTTAAATATATTTAATATATTTGACATATCTGATATAATTAACATATCTGATATATTTGATATATCAGACATATCTAACATATATAATATATTAGATTTATATTAAAAAGTATATAAAGGAGACTAAATTCTTGATAAGAAAGTAATATCAATTGCTAGATGTAATCTGATTAGTTCAGTAATAACTATAAATAACCTTTTTTATAAAGTAGCGTAAGATTACTCCTTTCTATTTTGTGATTAATTCTTTTTTTATATTTTCTTATTTTAGTATTTTTAGCTTTTAGTTTATTTATTTACTAATAAATCTTTATTTGATTTACCTGAAACATTTTGTGATATTTTGTATTAATAACATAATTCACATTTATTTATATTTTAACATATAAAAATATATTTGATAGTGTATTAAATATACTAGACAGTATATAGTGGATAAATCATATATTTATTGTAGATTTGAATATATTTTTCAATATAACAGAATCTAACCAACTGAGGTGTGAATATTACAGTATATAAAAGAGCCATTAACTTACTGAGACAATTATTAGATTACTACATAAACTTAAAAATAATCATCACTTGAACACTTTGTCTAACAGTCGCAATTTAAAAGGATTGCATATTAATAATATTTATAGAAAAGATATTACTAAAAAAATGGTAGAGTTTGCAATTAAAAATATAAGTTTTATTATCATATATTTGATATAATTTATAATAAAATAATAAAACAAAACAAAATAAATTATTTTATATGATTTTAATTCTAGTTTCTGATTAGCTGCTATATATATTACATAATACTTACATAATTTACAAAATTGAAAAAAAACTTTTTATAAATTGATTCATTTTTACAAATATAAATCAATTTATTTTATTTGATTAAAATCCAATCAATAGATTAAATTTTATTAATATTTTTTTAAATTCCTATTATAAAAGTTTCGCATTATTTATTAAATTTTATTTAAAATAAATAATATTTAAAAAAAAAAAAAATTAAATAATATAAAATATATGAAAAAGATAAAATAAAGAAATAAAAATAAAAATAATTAAACAGAAATCTAAAAGAAAAATAAAAAGAAAATATGAATAAAAAATAAAAAAATAAATACAAAAAATAAAAAATAATAATAATAATAAAAATATAAATAAATTGAAGAATACAATTATGAATATAAATAAAGAATATAAAAATAATAAATAAAAAACATAAATATGAAAGATAAAAAATATAAAAATAAAATATGAAAAACATAAAGATAAAAAGTAATAATAGATAATAATGAAGTATTATAATTAAGAATAATAATAAAAGAATGAAGATTACAATGAAAAAATATAATAAAAAAAAATTAATTAACTATAAATAAATAAATATACTATGAATAAGAAAATTCTTAGATAAATAAAAATTAATTTGTAAAATAAAATCTTCTTAATAATAAATGATAAAAATGCATTAAATAAATATAACTCTTATTGAAGCTATTTAAATTTTAAAATTTTATACATTTGTAAAATATAAATAATAATTATTTTATAATATATAAATAATAATTTTAAATTTATATATTATATAAAAAATCAAAGCTTTTATTTAAAAATTTTGTTAAATATAAATTTTTTTTTTATTTTACATTATATATTTAACATAAATATAAACTTTTTTTTTTTAAAAAAAAAAATATTGATATTAAAAAAAAAAAAATTTTAATTTCATAAATTTAAACATTACATATTAATCAAATCTACTTTAAAATATTTATAAAATTTTTGATTAAATCTGACTTGATTTATATGTAATTTAAATCTGAATTATATTTTAAATGTAACTTTTATTATTACTTACTATTTGGTTTCACAAAATGTTAAAGATCAATTGTTATAAATAGAATGAATAAAATAATAATAAATTTAAAGAAAAATTCTGTACAAATAAATATTTCTTCAACCTAAATAAAAAAAAAATCAATCAATATCATATCAGATAAAATCTAGAAATTTATGGTATCTTATTGAAATATATTTAATAATCCAAATTCAATTTAAGGTTGGAAAAATTTATAATTAGTTATTTGGTTGAAAACATCACATCAAACCAAATCTTCAACAAAATTCAGAACAATGTTATTGTCAAACATGTACATTCGATTCATTGATTAATTATTATCAATAATATCCAGATTTTGATTAGTTATTTGCAATACCGATTATTCTGTCATTTTAAGTTTTCTTAGCTCTCGATTCTGGTGATTTTAAACCAGTTGCATGTCCACTAGCAGTTGCAAGCTTTGAAGAGAGCATTCTTGAAGAAGGCAATTTACTTATACCAGAAGGAGCTGCAGTCATTGACATCCGGGAACCATGTTTTGATAGCCTTGTAGTAGGAGTAGCAAGCATTGATGTATTATGAGGAGGTATAGGAGAAGTTCCTCTACCAGGTGAGGAGCCACATGAGACTGAACTTGCTAAAGAAGTAAGGGAATCAGTTTCGGAAGCAGTAGGTGATTCCGGGGGGGAAAAAATTGGAGACGAGTATTCATCATGAGAAGACAAGCTATCAGTACTCCGACCACCATAATGTGCAAAGGATGAAGGAGTTTTAAGGACACTAGAAAGGCATCGAATACCAGAATTTGTATTTGAATACGCCGAAGTAGTTGAGATACTATTTGATCGCGACATTGTGGCGGTATTATTGGGAGAATTATTTCCAACTGCAATACTTTGAGGTCGAGGTTTCTTGAGTGACGTGTTGGGTGGCTCAGAAAAACTGCCAAGCCGGCTCAATGGTCGTATGGATGTTGTTGATGTAGGTGAAGTTTTGGCAATACTCGCACGACTTGAAGGTCTTACTGTTCCAGAATTAAGTGTGCCATATTTAGAATTCGATGCATTGACATTTGAAGGAGACATACTACTTCGAATTCGACTTTGTGGTCCAGTATTGGAGGATTTCGGTGTAACAGATCCAGCTCTGCTCAACGGTCGAGATCCTGGAGATGCAATATGTGATTCAGCAGAGCTATTACTCACACGACTCATTGATCTTGGACGAGCGCTACCTGACATAGATTGCGTCATATTATACATTGACATGTGAAGTCCTCGAGTTGGAGAAGCAATTCTTGAAGGCGATGTAGCACCAACAGATGATGTAGTGCTCTCTTCGGTAGAGCTATCACTAAGAGCACTTGAAGATCTTGGTCTTTGTGAAGTCGGGATAGAAGAATGAGAATCGACCCTACCAGGGGTTGCAATTCTAGAACCAATTCTGCTAGGCGAACGCAAGCCGGTTACTGTTGATGGTCTTCGTATTCCTGAAGCTCCCGATTTTGCGCTACTTGCTGAACGCACAGAAGTATATGAACCATTTGACGTTGTTTCACATTCATCTGGATCTCCTACCGACGAAGCTCGTGAAGATGTAGGAGAAAGCGGTGATGGACCAAAATGAGCGCTAAATGCTGTTTTAGGTAGACCCGATGGGATGCCAGATTTGCCACCCGAAAGGGTGGGAGCGGGTGAGGGTGCAGGTGAAGGTGAAATTGGCTTTAAAATAGGAGTGATTTGTGTGTCTAAGCTCATATCAATCTCATTTGTCTCATCATCATATTCAGCGCCTTTGGAATCCATCTATAAAACAAATGTTAAATCATAAACTTCTTAGTAAAATATGTAGTCAATAAAACGTTAATGTACGAGAAAACTTACATCAAATCCATTAGAATTAGAGAATGAATTCATGATATCATCAGCTTCTTGACCATCAACTTCAAGTGGTGTATCACTTAAATTTTCATCATCTTCTGCAATTGGTCCGGTAACATTCACTAAAGGACTCAATGTTGGAGTGCCATGTGGGTCTGGAGAAGGTCTACGTAAAGGAGAAGTTGATGGCGTAAGATGCTTTTCAAACTAATACATTTATTATTTGAATGAATAAATAAAATAAATAAGGATAATTAAGTAATAGATATGGTTTCGAATACATTCACGATTTGTAATATATTGCATTATACCTCTGCAGGATCAATTTTCCAGAAATCATCATCTCCATCATCCAAACCGTCATCATTTAGTTGAATTTCACCAGACTCCAAATCACTACCTTCAGCTATTAACGCATCCAAGTCTACGGAACAATCAGAATCAGTGTCCACAGATGTTTTATTCTTTGAGCGTGTTAAATGTATGGAACTTCTATTAGGCAAAGCAAATAATAATCATATGATTAAATATTAATGAAATTATATAAATCATTGCACAAATGTAAGGAAAAAAAAATATATATTAACAAACTCACTTAATTTCACCTTTACTTTCTATTTTAGATTCACCATTTAATGCAGAAATTTCAATATTGATGGTATTTTCTTCAACATTTTTGGTTTCTAAAGATTCAACCTTTTCAGAACCCATTATAACTATATCTGCAGTTTCATCTAAATTTTGTTTGATGTCTTGATTTATATTCTGTTTCTGTAACTTCGAGTCCATCCTCTGGTTACTTCGATTTTCATAACCATTTTGACGTTTTTCATCGGGACTTAACTCTAATTTAATTGTAGGTGATGTAAGTTGTTTATCAGTGCTAGTAGAATCTTTAACTATAACGGATTTTATGATTCCAGATGATTCTTGAGAAGGATTCCCATTAATAAATTCCTCTTTTATGGTTTCATTCTTTATGCTGGATGTTAAAGAAACCGATTTGTTATCGTCAATAAAGTTAGAGTCTAATTCTATTTGATTGTCTGTGAAAGTGTCTTTGTGAGTATAAGGAAGTTTTTGCAGAAAGAATTCTTTCAGACTTTCTCTTTTTGTTTGAAGTGCAAGTGATGTCGCCTCATGAAATTTTTTCTCTTCTTCCAACATTTGATCCTTTAGATCTTGTTCATCATGATTTGAATTTACCGGTGCATTCTCAATAACGGGTTGTAAATTTTGACCATCAGTTTTTTCATTAATTGATAGCTCACTCATTGATTCATTACTATTGTTGTCACTGGTAGAGGATGTATGTTCAGAACTAATTTGTACAAGTATTTTATCAACTTCGGAAGTATCTAACTGATTGGTTGAATTAATATTATCTCCAGGCGTAATGGTTTTGACATTATGATCAATGTCATTGGTATTTATGTTTTTCTGATCTTCTCTATCAAAAGTCTGGTTAGTGTCTGTTATATTTTTTGTAGTATTGTTTGCGGAATAATCCGTAGTTTCATGGTGTCCTTCTATAGAAGTGTTCGAGTTTTTAGGTGAGGTATTTTCTAGTTTATTCTTTTTTGCGTTTTCTTCTTCCAACTTTCGTACTAGTAAAAGTTCGCGCATTGTACTTTATATTTTTATTGTTTAAAAAATGTTAAAAAAAAATGTGTATAACATACTAAAAAATTTTTATCGGTGGAAGTGAAAGTAGAATACAATACTAAAGCTATACCTTAATGAACGTTTGTTATTCCGATGTAATATTTTATAATAATTATTGCGACGTTATTAATGCGTATATACTGAAAGAAGCGTTATTGTGGGTATATTTTTAAAAAAGGTGATAATAATAATGATGATAATAATATTGTTTATAAAGGCAAAGTTTGAAAGTAAAGTTTTTTTTTTTTTTTTTTATAAATCAATAGAGTTTACATAATAAGTATAAAAGTGGAATGGTCATATATAGTACATTAAACAAAAAGCGAAGTGAAAAAATAATAGCTTATAAAAAACGAAACTACGTTATAATGTTTATGATTTTGTACTGTAATAATGAATTAATGATACAAACCAATAAAAAATACACAATAGTACAAAAAAAAAAAAAAAAATTATATATAATACAAGAATCAAAAAGTATAAACTAATTTCTTTGGTTTTTTCGAAGAGGGGTTTATTCAATGCAAAATGTCCGAGTGTTTTTGGGGTTAAATATTGTCATACTTTAAGTTGATTATAATAATTTACTTTAATGATTTTGACTAAATTAGTAATTTGCTTATATTGATATCGATATTCTATTGAATTTAGGGTTCTTACAAAATTAAGAAAATATATATATAATAAAAAAATAATAAATATGTATAAGTTACACTAACAAAATTTGAAAATTTACATCATTTAATCACTATAATTTTTTTTCAATATATTTCTTAACAGGAAAATTTCTTATGTTTGTCAAGTGAAAAGGAATTGATAGTTATTCTATTTTTAAATAATAATCAGAATCAGCAAGTATAGGATCCCATTCTAAGATATCAGAATCTTCTAAATTATTAAAAGAATCTTCAAGGTAAAGTCCTTGACAATATAATAATTCAATATCCAAATGTTCAAATTCAGCTGAATCAATAAAAATCTCGGTATCAAACACTATTTTTGAAATTTGTTCTTGAATCTCATCATCTTCTTGTATCCTATTTTGATAAATATTATCAACAATTACTTCTTCTAATTCCCCATCCAGCCTTTCTATTAATCTTTCATCAAGTTTATTAATCATATAAAAAAATTTATTCCATTTCTCTTCATAATTATTATAATAATTCCTAAAATATCCAACAACATTCAAATAAGAGTTAGGTTTCATTATTTGAATGTTATTAGCAATAACATCAATATTGTTATCATTTAAATCTTTTAGTAATTTATAATAATGATTAGAAAATTCCAATAAACACAATTCCCCATTTATAACATAATCCAAAGCGTTGAATGTATTTAGATTAAATTCAAATGCATTCATATCAAAAATTGATCGCGTTTTAAAAATTTCAAATTCCTTTGCTGTACATCCAAATATTCTATCAAGACTTTCTCCAAATATCGTTACTAAATTATTAAATAAATTTTAATAAATTTATAAATAAATAAATAAATAAATAAATATACATTTCTTTTATTCTTTACCTCTATATAAATAATCATTAATAGAAACCATTATACAAATTCGATACCGATAAGAAATTTCGGTATGCTTGTAAATGATATGACAACGAAAACATCTTAATGAATATCGATCCTCAACTTGTAATTTGCTTTTTTTGTTTTCTTGATGTCCCTGCTTTTCATCATTTCCTAGATTGTTTTTATTATCATTACTTTGTTCGATTAATAGTTTTGATATTCTTTTTTCATATGGTAATTTTAATTTCTTCCCACAATAATCACAGGTAGGGTATACAACTTCTTGTTGCCGTATCACATTTATAATAGGACAGCTTATATATTTTGATGAAGCCATAAGTAATTCCTTTAAAGAAAGTTATTTACAAAACGCGAATGATAAAATTGATCAATTTTATTTATCATCCAATAGAATCTAAACCCGTCAATCACGTGATACAATATAATTTTCAATATTTTTATTAAATTTTAAAATAAAAATTCTCTTATATACAACATATAAATAATTTTCATTAAAGAAACATCAGCAATTAAAAATCTATAATTATTATTCTTAATCTACCATCTTCCTCCCCCACGCTTTCCGAAATAACCCCTACGCCTAATTGGAGGTGGTGCGTTTGGAGAAGTCGCAGAACTTGAAGCTGTGGTGGTAGTAGTATTGGTGGTGGTGGTGGTGGAATTTGTGGAGGTGGTGGTGGTGGCGGAAATATTAGATTCAGCTGATTGGGTTTGTGGTTTTGTCAATATTTGAATCTGAACCGGTTGTTTAACATCAGTGCCGTGTTTTCTGCTTCGATCTCGACGACGATAACTTGATGAAGGAACATTCATAATTGGAGTTCTAGTGACTGCTGTATTAGATGTGCTCGATGATGTATTAGAAACAGCATCTTTATCATCTACCTTAGGTATCTCCTCCTGTAGATCTTTTTGATCTTTTACTCTAGATTCATTGATTACTACCTCTTTGTCAATTGTTTCTTTTGAATTAGTTTCTATTGTATCTAATTCCTTTTTTATCAATGAAGGCTGGATGAATTGACGAATTTGTTCTTTTTGTCGTCGTTGAATCGTAATTTTAACGGGTGCTCTCCTAGTTTCTTTTTCTCTTTCTTCAGTTTGCGGTCGGGGAACAATAGTAATAGTGGGAGGTACTGACATACTAGCTTCTGCTGCCTGAGATTTTTTCTCTCTTTCTCTAAACTTTTGCCTTTCTCTTTCCGGTTTCTTTTCACGTCTTCTCTCACGTTCTCTATCACGATCTCTTTCCCGATGATTCTCTTTTTCTCTAGCTTTCTCCCTTGATTTTTCGATGTCTATCTCCTCGAATTCCTTTCCTTTTTCCTTTTCAATATATTTGTTATTATTTTCTTCTTCAATCTTCTTATCTTTTTCTTTACCCTTTTCCTTCTCTCTCCTTTCCTTCTCCCTTTCTCTCTTTCTGCGTTCCTTTTTGGTAGGTTTACCTGTATATTGAAAAGATTGATTAGCTTCATTAGCATGTACCGCTCGTGAATGTTGTGACTGTTTTACAGTCTTCGAACCAGTTCCTTTTGCAGGTGAACCTGGGGGTGAAAGGATAGCTATTTGAGCTTGTTTTGTTAGTTGCGATTTAGACTTTGCAGACTTTAACGCGCGTAAATGTTCAATAAGTGGAGTAGTTTTTGGTTTTTCAACAGCATTAGCTGCATTGATAGCTGTTCAAATAATAAGAGTAAATAATTTATTACTTTAAAAAAAAAAATAAATAAATAAATAAATTAATTGATTATTGATTTAAAGCTCACCAGCAGCGTTTGCCAAACGGGCCTCCAATCTTTCCAATTGCGTTGCACCACTTTCTAATAATACACCTGGTTCTTTTGTAGTGGCATGTTGAGTTTCTTCAACTTTCAAAGATTCAAGAAACGCGAGATAATCGGGATCTACATATACCAGAATAAATTAATGATGTATTTTCTCACTGTAATCAAATTTATACATACCAGTTTCAATCGTTCCTTGTTTAGGATTTGGTTTCTTGTGTTCTTTTGGTAGTTTTTGATAAATTGCAAATTCTACCACAGCTCTATTTTCATTGCCTATATTCAAAAAGAAAAAAAATAAAAATAAAGATAAAAGAATATAATAAAAATGATACACCATCAATTAACGAGATAATACCTTGTCTGTCAACAAACAAATGATTATCATAACCACGATGAAATTCTAAAACCTGTTCAACAGTCTTGAAGTGTAGATAGGCACGAGAAAAGATACTTTCCTTATTCTTGCTACAACATATTAAAAATGCGTTTAGATTTGTTTTTTCAAGTTTACACCAAACGTAAGTATACGCTTACCTCTTGCTAATACGACCTTGGTGAAAGCGTGACCAAGTACAAGTTTCTTTATTTACCCATTGTTCGACAGATTCAAAGAACACTTGCTCAAGAATAAGTGGAGGTAACCGACGTACAACGACTTTTGTCTTTGTAGCATTTTTGCTGTGACCTGTTCGTTTAGATTTAGATTTCTTTGATTTAACTAAAGATTTGGATATTTTACTTGACATCATAATCTTTTTTAAAGGTTATTCGCATTTGACATTTGTATAAATTTTAAATAAATTTATTTGTGGTGTTACCCGATCATCCCGTTTTCTAAATTTCACGTGATGTACGTTTTTGAGCACTTATTAGAAAAATGATTTTGAAAGTAGAAAAAAAAATGACACAATTATTATCAAATTTTGAAAATAACTGAATGGACATTTTTTATTGTGTTATAATTCTAACTAAATTAGGGGCTGTTGCGATATAGAAATACCTATGGTTTAAAGATAGCATCATAAGTATTTCAAAATGGCGGTAATTTGTGAAAATAAAATTTAAAAATTTAAAAGTAATTTAGGTGACCGTACCCATATAAGGAAGGTATGTTACACTATTATTCCACAATAATTTTTTAAGAAGCTTGTGTAACAGATTTATCCTATGAAAAGTGCATAGATGCTAAGCATTTCTGAAACTTTTGATACTATAGATTAATAATTTCAAATAAATCTATTTGAATTCAAATACTTTAATATGTCTGAAAAGAGAAATTGCAATAAATATCAAGTTATCAAGTCAAGTAGATTTGTCTATTAAAGAAAGAAAAATGAAAAAGTTAAGAATAAAAGTCTACAAAGAAAATCTGATAGAAAAGTATTATCTTATATAGTAGCTGTTATATGAGTTTGATAAAAAATCCTTTAAAAGAGATCTTAAATAAAAAAAAAGCTACAAAGGAAGAAGTAAGTATTTTAAATAAAACTTAATGTTTCTGAAATTATCAAAATGATAGTAAAAGTTCTATATAAAAGAAAATATGTGTAAAAAAAGAATTCTTTTTATAATTTTGATAAAATATGAGAATTAATAGAAGAAATTGAGCCTGCTCTGAAAGATTTTTTTAAACAACTTTATGTATCAATCCAATTTTTTAAATGTAGTAATAAAATAATAGATTATATGAAAAAATAATATTGTTTATTTATTATCTTATTTCTTAATAAATAACATAAAAACAATTGCTTTTAAGTTTAATTTAACTTATTATCTAAATTTGATAGGAATAAATAACAAAGGATTGAATATTATAGTAAATCTTAGGATTATTATAATATTAAGGTTAATAGATCAAAAGAAAAAAACAAATATCCAATATATATAAGAAATATGTAAAAAATGCTATTCAGTAATATTTTTATATTAAATATTAATAACTATCATAATATATACAGTTAACTCTTTTTACAATAAATTTTGATATAACGAATTTTACAATACAACAGATTTTTAGTATCAGACAGATTTTAAATAAAAAAAATCCTTATTATACTAAATTTAATAATTAAAAATTTGTATTATGTTTAACGAATTAAAATCAGAAAAATTATATATAAAATGACTCTTTTTATAACGAATTTTTTTTATAATAAATTTTTTTTTTGATACAATGAAGCTTTACTTAAAATAAATTTTACTAAATTTATGTATATAAAATTTTGTAGTTTTCTATACCTAGTTTTTAAATAAAAATTAAAAATGAATAAATATTCACATTATATATTATGTTTTGTATTTTATATTTTTTTTTATATATTTTATTTTTTACGCATTTTTTTTCTTTGCATAATGTCAATAATGCCAAAAGTAAACTCAAAGAAATAACTTAATCAATCTACTAACAAACAAGATAAACCTTTAAAAAAAATGAAAGTCTCTTACAGCTGCATAAAAAAAGAATATTGTTTGAAAAAAAATATCATCACCTTTTTTAAAACAAAAGAATTTGATTAATGAATATGATATTAGTAAAGGTATGATAAGTGACATTTTAAAGAAGAAAGACCATTAGCTTTTTGTAAATACTAATTCATACTAAGCTAATTTGAAATATGATAAGAAAACTCTATTCTCTCTTATTAAAGAAGCGTTAGTAATATAGGTAGATAATATACTCAAAGCTAGCCTTATTATTATGGATATTATTCTTTAACAAAAGCCTTAAGTTTTACTTTTTTATTAAAGGAGGATAAGTTTAAATTTAAAGGGTCTAATGATTGGATGGATAACTTTAAAAAATAACACAACCTTAAATTATACCATATATACAGAAAAGCTGAAAGTACACCACTTGAAGATCTTGAAACAATGAGAGAGAATCTCTGGTAAATATTAAAAGAATATAGTCCTAAAGATATATTCAATTTTGATAAAATAGGACTGTTATAGAAGATAAAATTATATTAAACGATATCTAACAAACAAACATCAGGAAAGAAACAATCAAATGATCATGTAATGATCTTACTCATATGCAATGTAATAGAGAATGAAAAACTAATGTCTTTGTTCATACATAAGTATGAAAATCCTAGGGTTATTAAGAATATTGATACAGTAGCAGTCATAAGTATCTGACCGTCTCTAACTCTGGCTACAAGTAAGTAAATTCAAAAAATTTTTTTTATTTAAAAAATACATAACCAACTAATTAAAATTAATATATTATATAATCACCATCTGACTCTATAAGTGCAGCTGTATGCCTTTTCATGCTAGCTACCAAATTTGTGATAAGTACAGGTGATAATTAGTTCTATTTTTTTGTAAGTTTCCCCTTTAACCCTCTAATTGATCAAATTTTTTTTTTGTATATTAATTTTCATTAACCTTCAAACGTTTTCTATAGGGTTTTGGTCTGGAGACATTGATAGCCACGAAAGTACCTCAATGCCATTTTCTTCCTTCCATTTTTTCACAATTTTCGATTGATGCTTTAGATCATTATCTTTTTGCAAGATCCAATCTATGTTACCTTTACCAAAAAGTTTAGAGGTGAAAGCCAGAAGACCCTTCTCATAAATAGTACACATAAATTCA